CTTCAATTGTTTCATCTGAGTAGTGGTGGCTAAAAGTGTTCTTCAAGCACTACCTTCACATGCCATTCAATTATTCCTGTTTACAGAGTGTAACATTTCAAAGTGGTTTATTTAATAATGTCATTTCCATTCTCTGGCTTTAGAGGATTTTCTAAGGCCTTGAGGTTTTAAACTTTTGCATGGAAGGATATTGTTTTAATTTAATATAAAAATTGGCCTTTAATTAAAAAAAAAAAAAAAGCTAAAACCAACAACAGTAGTTACCAGTGGCTCCTGAATTTGCTTCAAAGGAGACAATCAGTCACACAGACCATTTCAGAAAGGTACATCAGGTATTTGACAAGGTTCAGCAGCAAGCCTGGTTATTTTTATGTTTTTTTCATGTGGACAGTTGTGGCTGTTTTTATCAGAGATAATTCTTGTATTTCCTACTCAGCAGTTTACAGCTGGTGGGAAATACATTAAAAAATGTTGGGTTTTTTATGTGAATATTATGAAGAGTCAAACAATGAGAGTATAAAAAGGACTGGGGATCTCTGCAAACATGAAATTGTTTCTTCTGATTCTCCAAAATGGGGTATTACTGTATAAGGGTGTCCCTGAAGGAATGTCTTTTTCTCCAGGCTGTACTCAGGATAATTATTTATGTCCCTTCCCAAATATTGCTCAGCTTCATTCATAATGGAAGCTGGAAAAAACCCTGTACTTCATCTCAAGGTGATAATCTTGATTACCTGTTTAAAGTAACTGATGTGAAGAACTCCTGATGGCCTGAACTGCAGTGTGACTTCTGATAACACCCAATCTTTTCACTGGGGTCCTTCAACTTTTCGTTCTATTTACTGTATGGCTGTTTTTCCAGCTCATACATGTAATGGATTTGCAATTTAATATTTCATTTGGTATTGCCACCATATGGCTCTGGATGCTGAGAGGGTATGGGCTGAGTGAGTAATGGCTCCAAGATAGATTTGTGACTGAAGCTATAGGCTGCTGAATAATCTTATTTTAAATCAAATGAAGATCTGATTAGAGAAGGTTATTGTTGCTGAGGTGGTGATTTTCTGTGTAGCTCAAGGGAAAATAGTTCTGTCTGTTTAGTTTCTGGGAACGTCTGCAAAGAATATCTTTTTAATAAATCAACAAAAAACGGTGGAATTTCACTAATCATTACCTGTAAACTAATCCAGGAAAAACTCCATGAATTAAAGTGTTCCTATTTAAGTAGCAATGAACAAAATGCTCCATCACTAATGCAATAAAAGCGTCCTGCTTACTGTTAAGTGAGGGGTTTTTTCTATTAGATTTCTTTTTTTTTTTTTTTTTAGTCTCAATTATTTGCTAGAATTACCAACACTTGAGATGAGCTGCCTTTGGAGGTGCTGAGTTTTTTAGTGTCGGCACCAGCTCAGCAGAACTCTGGAGGATAAACTTTAAATACAGAGTTTCAGCAAGCAAAGCCAAAACTTCTCTAGTCCATCTTGGACGTGGTGGAAGTGTGCTATGTTAATTTTACGTTTTCATCGAGTGCCAAGGTGAGGTTCGTGTTCCTGAGACGGTGCTGAAAGGACTGAAGCCTGTGATTTCACTGCACGCTCATTTGGTGTAGATTAGATTAAAATTATTCCTCCTCCTTTGCAAAATCTGTAAAGCTGTGGCCAGAGTGTTCTTGTGCAGCTGGGTGTGACTGCTGTCTTTCTGATTCTCCCCTTCTTTTCCCCTCCCCAGGGTCAGTACAGGCCCTCTGACCTGCTGTGTCCGGAGACCTACGTGTGGACGCCGATCGAGCAGTGCCTGCCCCTGCTGGAGAACTCCAAGTACTCTCGGTTCAACCAGGATGAAAAAGCAGGTAAAGTTTACCAGGAATGACAGGCCTGTGAACTGTCTGTCTTCTTACAGTGTATCAGCAACATCTGCTGCTGCTGCAGCATTCTGGAAACGGGATCTTTGAAATACAAAAAAAGCGTTAAAATTCACAGCTCCTGCAGCAGACTCGGCAAATGGAGGGGTTTGTTTTGTAACATAAAGTCAGCAATGCAGATTTTAAATACATTCTGTTTTAAAGATTATGCATAGTTCCAAATAAACACATATTGCTGCCTTTCAGATAATTATATTTGCTATTCTGGGCACGAACAAAACCAGTCAAATAATTGTTCCTCACAGTCCGGTCAGAGGGATGCATAAAGGAAGGAGATGGGAGTCAATACAGGAGAAGCTTAAAGGCATCAAGTGCTTTTGTTAAGAAACAAAGTGGCAGATTTGGTTTAACAGTCTGTCAGTGAATGTGAAAAATACAACCAACAGCGGAAGCACCTTAAACATCCTAAAGTAGATAGATTTATACATTCTGTAAAATAAAGGCTTAGTGATTCGCCAGCGTAAAATGGTTGAAAATGTCACTGACCAGCACATAATACAGTAATGCTACTGTAAAACAAGGCAACAAGATGGAAAAAAATGCCTGTATTTGCTTCAGTTCCTGACTCTCTGGGCCGATGGCAGGTCCCAAAGGAGCTGTGTTAGAGAATGCTTGAAGTGGTGCTTGTGGGGAAAGGGAACCAACTTAACTTCAGTTTTTAATTGGAAATTGCTGAATATCCTCTTTTTGTAGTTTTCTTTCTCCTGTGAATAATAATTGAATGTGGCAGTGGTATTAATCAGAGGTGTGTGGTGTTACTCAGCTCAGGGGTATGTAACACCATGGTCTGTTTCTAAACACCAAAATACAGATTTACCTGTCTCTGAGTGGTCTTCAACATTTGCTTCTTTCTTTTTCCTTTTTGTCTTTTACTCTCTTTCCTTTTTCTTTTTTTTCCTTTTTGATCTTTTTACTTTTTACTGTAGTTTAGTGGGATTTTCCTTCCCTAGACAGTTAACTGTTAAATCCTGGGAGGGCAGGATGTAGATAAATCAAAGGAATTTGAATAGGCTGCTTAATCAGGACTGTGAAGTTCTGGAAGTGCTGTTGAGTTCCTTGCACATCCTGTGCTTGCTGCGTGGTTGCTCAGCTGCAACACTAATAATAATAATTACAAGAACTACAATAGCAAAGTTCAAGTAAATTTCTAGCCATAGATTATGAGTTAAAGTTTTAGCAGCAGAATTACCTGGAGGGTTCTGTGCAAATAGGGAATGTTCTTTAGGGATTGTGGATGTTGCCATGTGATGTGGTTGGCAAACAGACTTTTGGATGCTCGTTGAAAAGAGTATTTATCCCCCAGGGAAAGTCTCTGTGTGTAAGAGCAGCACATGATCATGCCTTGGTCAACCAGAACCGTCCTTAGACTGGGGAGGGGAAATTGGAAAGGAATTACAAAGGCAGGAGGAAGAAGGGAGTGGCTTTGGAGGCCAGTGGTGTTCAGGATGCTCTTGGTATCCAGAGTGCTAAACAGCTACCTTTGAAGGTGTTAACCCCGTGCAAGCAGAGGGGCATCGTCATCTCCTCGACTGTGTGAAACCCCTGTGGCAAACCACGTGTTTGGGCACTGCAGGATGTGAAGCTTTGCATCACCATCAGCACAGAATCTCTCGCTGCAGACACTGCTGGAACTGTGACTTGTGTCCTGTGGTTTAAGGAAATTAAAACATAGCTCCACGTTGAAGTGCACCGGGCCTGCTGTGAGCTGGAAGTCACTGGAGGTTTAAGCAGTTGCTTGCTCCAAGGAAGCCATTTCTCAACAATGAAATCAGCTTCCTTCTTAATTCTTTGCTCTCTCTCCAATAGTCAGCACTGTGAGTTTAATGAAGTTACAGTGAATTTTAAAGAGAGCAATAGGGGTGATGGGTGTGCTTCGTTCCTCCTGCTTCAGCTCTCTGTCATACTGTCCATAAGTATGGTTAGAGCAGGTCATGATTAATCAGGAGTGGGATGTGGAAACTGAGGGCAGTAACCAGATCCACTAAAGGAGTGGGGAAAAAACAGTGCAGCTTGCACTGCTGTCTGGGGCAATAAAACAGTCACTGGAAATAGTCATCTTCTAATGTTGTCTGCAATGTCAGAATTTCTTAGGCATTACCTCACAGTAGTTTCTTCATAATTTTCAGCAATTTCTGAATGTGTCTTCCCTCCCTTTAAAAAAAAAAAAAAACAAAGAAATTTAGGTAATAAATTTACCAGTTGCAGCTTCAGGAGAGAATGTGATGTGCTCTGACCTCTCAAATCTCTGTAATATGAAAAGGATCTTGGAGTATTCGTGCATGTTACGTTGCAACACTCCTTCCTCTAATCAGATTTAATTTTAGTTTTCTGGAGGAAAAAAGAAAAAGGTGCTCAGAAAAAGTAGCCTTTTTTTTTTTTTTCCTAAAGCACGAGAAAATATTCCTTGATATTTATGGATGATTTTTCCTGCTTTTCGTTATGTGGTTGTGTCAAGCTGTAGCATTTTCAAATGTTTTTAGAGTGTATTGTTTGCCACTTCCTTCTTCTCTGGCATCTCATACTTTTATCAACAGCTGGAGAATGAAGAAGAGAGGACAGACAAACTAAACAAAGTCCTTAACTCTTTATACAAGCCAGATAAGTCTAAGGAAGTGTCTCAGTTAATAACACTTTACTATCCCTACTTACCCTCAAAACACAGACAGCAATGAGGGTTTGTCCCAGCAAACACTCGAATTAGGTACTTAAATAAATTGCTGGTAGGCTCTTCATGTGCATTTCCTAAAATGCATTGAAAAGCATAAGTTACCTCTGAAAACATTGTGCAGAGCAACATTCAGACAGCATTCATGGGTGGAAGGTCACATTTGTCAAGTATTTTTGCTTTTATAAACTGCCACTTTTGCCTAAATTACTCGTGCCTCAGAACAGATTTTATATTTTTGTGTGAAAAATTCAGAAGGCCTGACATCATCTTATAAAAGAGAGATTTATTAGGATTCTGATATGTTTATTATTAACTATTCACCAGTCATTTACTTACAACTAAATAAGTAGTTGATGAGATGGGGCACTAACAGAGGGTTTGGATACTGATGCATTCTGGAAATTGAGATAGTGCTGAACTTCATTTAACAGGCCATTAGCTGTAAGTACAGATGGAGATATGCTGAAATAAAAAGAAGTTAATTAAAAGGTTGCTCTGCAGATAAGTACTTGTCTGGGACTTTGACAGCACATCAAACTGACGAGCAAAATTCAGTCAAATGATAGCAGCTGCTGAAATATTCCTGGGCATGATCTGTGTGCCACACTCATTAACTTCCTCCTCTCCAAACTAGTCCTCGGGCTTTTACTTCACTGGTACTTTCACCAGCTGCTTTGCCCATGAAACAAAGGCAGTATGGAAAGAATTGCAAATAATTTACTTGGAATCCTGGCAATTTTTTTTATCCTTCCGCTTCCCATTTTCCTGAGATTAACCCAGTGATGTGTCTTCTCTTTGTGATATCTGTTGAGGTTTTCAGTTGGTTGCTCCTGAGAGAAGCCCGTGACAAATGTCTCCATGAAGTAAAATCTTTATGAAAATCTACTTTTGGGACGGTAATTAAATTAGTGGGAAACTTCCAGTCTCTCTTCCCATCAGCACTGGACTGTCAAGACTATTAAAGAGCAGCTTCAGGTGAGGGCAGATACAATCCCGGTGTAAAAGTGCTTCAAAGCCTTCATGTCATGTAATGTGGGGTGTACACAGTGCCAGCCAGGGGGCAGAGGGCACTGTTACCCAAGTGAAGCAGCTTGGTGTGAATTTCTAGGAATGGTCCACAGCAGTGGAAGCTGCTCCCCACCCTCCTGTGTCTGCAGGAGCTGTGTGAGCAGAGCTGTGAGCGCTGCAGATCAAAAGGACTTCAGTGCTTTTGCTGCCTCGACTGATTTGTCTGCTGAAGTTGATGAATTGGATAAGCTGATACACATCTGCTCAGCTTCCTGTGTGTCTAATAATAGACTGAAATCAAAACGGAATCGAGTGGAATACATCAATTAAAATGAAAGTATTTTCCCCAGCGTTGAAAAATTACACATAACAAAGGCATAACACAGGCTCCTCTGTCTTTGCTTTGTGTGCTCTTAGAGACACGACAATCTTTGCTCCAGAGAGTGTGGTTAACAGAAACCACGGTGGAGGCAAAAGGATGGGATAAAGAAACAGAGAAGCACTTCTGGGTTGCCTGGTCGATTGTAGCAGTAGACTAAATTATAGCCTATTAATAGACTAAACTGAACTTTTTGTAAACATCACAGTGAAGGAGAGTTTCAAGGAGGGATGTAAGGAAGTCATCTTCTGCAGGGTGAGAGGTGTAGGAGAAATGAAGGATATGGGGAGGCACGGAGCAGTTTCCTTGGAAACAGATTAACTTGTCTGGGATATCAGATCCCGTAGTCAGAGGTAGAGCTTACATTGCTGCCTGCTAGGAGTGAGGATGGAGGGAAACAAGAGGGTGGGAAGCCTTAGCAGTGATGTTCTGTGGTGTGATCAGGGTGCAGGTAGCTGGCAGAGACGTGCCTGGAAAGATGGTGAAGAGAATTTTGCAGTAGTTCATGTAAGTAGAAAGGTGCAAAGAAGGACTTGGCAAGAAGAAGCTGTTGAAATAAGCAGTGATAGGATTCAAACTTGACCATCTAGATAGGCATTTGTGGAGATGAATAAGACAGGCTGTTATTTGGATGTACACTATGTAGAAAGAAACTAGATGTGGAAACTGAAGAGATGACAAAGCCAAAGGATTCAGCAACCGCTTTTCTTCCGCCCCTTGCTCTTGCTGCAGCCCAGACTTTGCATCTGCCCCTTCCACACAGCAATCAAGACCTTGCTTCTTCCAGCAGAGTGGAAGTCCCTAGGAGAATTTAGGCTTGATTGACTAGTTTCCAGCTGGTCTGAGCCAAAATTACGGTTGGCATTGGAATCAAGAGAAGATGATTTGTGTTTTCTGTGCTTTCCAGTGAACTGGGCAGGCTGTGTCTGCACAAAGCACAGATGCTGAAATCCAAAAAACCTATTCCTATCTATTCTGCTGCTCCTAGTGAGCTAGAGTAGTGAAAGGCAAACAACATTCCCAGTGTCTAACAACTTCTGAATCCTCTTATTAACAATTGCTAATAATGCATCTTAATGCCTCTCGCAAGAAGCTGAGGGTTATTAGTTCCAGTAAATAAAACGTAAAATGCTTACCCAGAAATCTGCAGGCTTGTTATACAAAACTATGCTCATTTTAAATGTGTTTTTGTGCGTAATGCCTTCAGTAGAAAAAAAGTCCGTCACGACTATTTCAATAACTCTCATTTCTGGTGTTGTGCTTTTCAAGCCATTTAATTTTACGTACAATTCAGACACTGCTGTTAAAA